GGGGGGGGGAAGCAGTATCAGGAAACAATACATATTTGCATCTTCAAGGCTTCAAATCCTCCATGTAGGAAGCAAACACAGGTCTTGTTTAAGACGGAAGATAGAATGTCTTTAGGTAATGGACTAGTTCAGAGATTTGCAAAACTGCTCTGTAAATTGATGTAAAGTTTTGACATTCAACAAATGCTAATTAGCAAATCGCTCAAGAAAGTTGTGGTATCTGGAAACAAAGTTTGCTGTCCAACTTCTTACCTCTTATTTCTGAACTATAAGCAGTGTTTTCAATCCATGATCTTCAAATTATATAAATCAATGCATTTTTATCATCAGTAGGCTTGAATTAACTAAGCAGGAGTCTCCACCTCCATTGGAAATATTTTAGAAATGTGGAAATCGAAACAGATGGAACACAACCAATCCAGAAAAGATTTATCTATCCTTAGCAATCTTAGACTGGAATGGTGTATAATATATTAAACATATTTACGATCAAATGCTTCCTGTCATATTATCAAAGTTTCTAACAGGCAGGGTTAACTTCTACTGACAAAGATCTTCTAGAAGAAGAGGCAGCTTCCAGGGAAAAAGAACAAAATTGAAACTTGTATCACGAAAACCTTTCCTTTACATCTTTTTAAGTACAAAAACCTGTAAATGATCCACACCTACTGTATTTCAGGCTTTTTCTTCTATAAAAGACTCTTCCCCTATAGCGGTCTTTCCTCTTTCCTCCTCTTGTTTCTTCTTCTCATGTTCTTTGTCATTTTTCTAAGTCATCTCTGGTTTGGTATTTGTCTCCTTCCATTTCACCTGTTGCAGCCCTTCTGGCTTCCTTTTGAATGTACTGTTCTTGATTTTTCACATACAAAGACCACAGCCATAAAATATCCTAGATATGTACACCTTGAAATACACCTCTCATATCCACTTGTAAACTTATTTTTCCCTCCCTTCTGAGTGAGTCATCTTCATCAGGTCCCTAAAAGGACTCCCAACCACTACACCAGTCTCTCTGAACTCCATCTATTTCACTACTGCTATGGTCCCAGCCTATCAGACTTCATACCAACAAAATTCTGGTGTCTCTGTTAATCACACAAAAAAAAAATAAAAGTTCAGTAGTTTAAGGCAAAGCACATGCTGATTTTCTTAAGATGAGCTTTCCCCAAGAAACACAAAAGCACTACTTTAAGGTAACAAATGCTTATTTTGCCTAATCCAAGACTACCTGACCATCTGTGATAACACAATAATCATACCCCATCTCCAAGGGATCAGTTAGCAATAGTGGGAATGATGGTTTTAAAAGATTAGGAACTGAATTTTGAAATTATTCAGTGAGACATCCACACTATAAGAACTTCCCACCTTTCAACTTCAGAAGTCAAATTTTGAAATCAGTTTCAAGATTAACACAAAAAAACCCACAAACTAATATCTGATTTAAAGCTTAGCTTCATACTGCTATTTCCATAATACAGTATGAAGGGTATTAATACTTTTGCAAAAGTACATTTGGTAATGTATGACCAAATTGAAGAACTGTGCTATTTAAATATTTGTTGAAAAACAGATTTTAAAAATTTGCCTTTTTCTCCCATTTCTACCTTAACAGGGCAGCAGAGCATCAATATATGCTGGAACTTGGAAGGTTTTAAATTGATTATGTGAAAGCTTAATTCCAGAAGACCATTCATGCTGCTCCATTTGACTTTTAGCAATACTTGTTTACTTGCTAAATCAGGAGACAATATACTGCTATTTACACAGAGTTACAGAACAAAGCCAGGCAAACTAATTAATACTGTATGAAAAAAATACATATTATCACAGACAACCAAATAACAATTATGAGATGTGTATAACTTACTGCAAGAATATGCAAGTTGACAAGTAACTTGCACCCGATTGTTAAGCATTGTAAATACCAAGAATTGCTCAGTATGCAGTGAATTATGACAGCTCGTTACTTACAACTTAAGATCAGACTTTCAAATTCAGGTTTTTTTCCTTGTCAAATTATACTCAGATGGCACAACAACAGATGAGTAAAATAATACTTAAATAACTTTAATGCATTATACTAGTCATACAACTGCACAAAAAGGTACAAAAGCTATACAGATACACTAACCTTATGTCAATTAAAGGTGTACACCTGAGTCATACAGAAAGCTTTGCCTGAGATACAAATATTTGTGTCTCAGAACATCTGAGGGTATCATTAACCACTGAACTGGGATAGTTTACCTACCTAAAACATTATGTCATTGAGCATATTTTATTCCAGAGTCACAGATAAGATTGTGACAGGGATAAAGGGAACCAGTATCTTCCATATGAATTAAACTAAAAAAATTAAGTAGTGCCACTGCCAAAAATATTTTAGTCAAACATTCTATTATTTATTCTCAGCTTTTAAAGAAATGTTCCAAACTGCAACTTACCAGGATTATGATGAGTCACAGATTCTCCATTTTGAAATACATCTCCAGCCACATTCATTCTACCAGGATTGAAAGGTCCTACACCAGTCTTGGTCTGTGAAGTCAAAGATGGGGTGTATGTTTGCATATTAACACCAAAATTACTTGACTGCAGTCCGTTAGATACATCTCCCAAGTTGGCATTCTGCAGTGATGTTACATGTGTAATCATTAAGTTCATGTCACGCCCTTCAGCATTTTCTAAATGACCATCACTCACAGAGCTCATAGCACCTGTTTCTAATGTAGTTACATTAGCAATCTGAATTTCAGAGTCTGGTTCTGTGGTTATACCACTATTACCTATTCCTGAATTTACCTTACTTCTTGAAAAACTGGAAGCTGAGAATTCCGTATCGTTGGTTCTATTTTTACACTCTGGAAGCCTTCGTTCATTAAAACCGGAAGCATTCTTCTCTTGTTCTTGATTTGTTTCAATGTCTTCTTCATCATCAATAATAATAGTTTCACTTATACTCCCCTTTTGAGAATTGAAGTCTTTTGGAGGAGGAAGCATTTTGCAGTCATTTCCCTGAAGTTCTTCATTTTTTGATGATGTAAATGTAGTGTTCCTTTGATCTGCTATCAGGGACGTAGAATTTTGTGGAGGTTGTATAGGTTCAATAAAAACTACATCATCGTCATCTTCTATAGCTGAATTTTGGAATTTATTAGGTCTAGAAACTAAAGAACTTGGTGGACCTCCAAATGTATTTCCTACATTTGCAAGGCCTGTTGCCATGGTGGTATTCCCTAGTAGACCAGGACTATGTTCAGACAGTTCTAATCCTCCCAGAGGACTCGAGTCCATTCCAGATCTGCTGTTTAAAGAAAAACATAAAGCAAGAAAAAAAACGCCCAACTTCAGAGTAAGATATAACTTTCCAATAACAGTTCTTAAAAATAACTACAGAATTAAAGGTTCCAGCTTCTGTTTTCTTCCTGATATCGTATAAAGAAAACACAGTTTCTCGATGCTCTTCTTTGAATGTCTTCACATTAATTTACTTTCTAATCCTATACTACCAAAAAAATACTGCCAATACCAACATTTCCCACACAACCGCTACACATCATTATGTTTAGCAATACATACATGCCTACACAGGAAATAGAACTTTTGATGGTATTTATTACATGATCCTGATTTCTTAGTCCCTTTCCCACCCACATATGCACACAATTATCCTGTAATACTGCTTTTGCTAGACTGCAAAGCAAGATCTAAAGTTAAGACATGCAGAAAGAAAATCTGAATTTCTATTAAATTTCATTCCTACTAGAACTGTTACAGAGTTTCAGTATCAATAAATTTATACAACAAAAGACTGAAGCGCATATCCAAGTGCCTAGCGCAAAAAAAAAAAAGGCAGCATCATTTTTCGTATTAACAACTTTGAAATTTGACTGATTTTCCCCCAACACCACACTGCCAAAGCTCCTTAGGTGGCCCCAATATAACTGGAACACAGAAGTAAGCAAAGGAGATATGGGACTGCTGCACATGATGAGAATAGATACATTATTGAGCAGTGGAAGGTGCACTACCAGAGGCAGCTCATTTGAAGTCTTGGCTTACTACCGCATGTTCCACTGGTGCTTTCAACAACTCTCTCTTTTCTTTGTAACAGCAAGCAATGTTTCTTAAGGGTCCTTCCGAACAGCTAGCTACTTTGCTTGGGGGTTTCTATTTGCTTTTAATAATTGCTCAGTTTGGGGAATCTGTTGTTTATAATTGTCAATACTACCATGAATTAGAAAAAATTTAAAGGGGCAACATGGGTATACAATTTCTGTACCTGTAATTCCAAACTGGCATATAATCAGTGCTAAAGAACTTAAGATCTCTCTGAAAAACATCTGTACTAAAAATCAGTAAGTTAAATTGATCTTGATATACATAACCAGAAAAAAAAAGACGCAATTACATGATCATTTGGGTATATCTTGGAGTATACACTTATGTGTGACATCACTGAGCTTTTGTGAAAGGCTAGAAGTAGCATTCTGTGCTTTTTTTATAAATCCTTTATAAAGGAAGATAAATAGAGAAAGTAGAAATATCCTGCTGATCAATACTTACCCATCCAGAAATCCACTGCAATCTGTTTACCTTAGTAAGTTGCTCCAAGAGCTTTTATTTTCTTTCCAGTGGGGAACCTGCTCTTCTTGTATCAACTTTCTGCCCTCCACAAAAGTAGTGTGTTCTGAAACAGGGTTAAACCAAACATTAGATATCCAAAACAGTTTCTTCATCTCAAGCATCCTCTACCAACTATGTTCATTACACTGACTTCCTTCTAAACTTACAGTTTAAGTTCAAACCTGACTTTTAGCACTATCACTGTACTATGTTAGAAAGGGAATGTCAGTCTATACTATCATTGCCATGAGTAAAGCAGCACCAGTACTGTTTATTCTAGATTTTCCGCTCTGTCACATCACATTTCCAGAATCCTTCGTTTGATGCTTTATGGATAGATTAAAAAAATACAATGTTTGGTAAAAGACAGGCAGACATAACTGCAATTCAGTAATCAAACACTAGAATTAAGAAGTATATCTGTAACAGAGTATTAAGGAAACAAATGGTTCAAGTAAACTGAGCTATTGAGAAAATAAACCTTAGCAGTTGCATTTATCATGTCAACCTCCTTGATGCTTGTAGCAGAATATACTATGCTAAAATTAAGTTACAGCAAAAGGAAAGTTACAGAACATACATTATAAATCAGGCTTACAATGCAATATAGACCTTACACTGCTAACGATTTTTAATTGTATACATGTACTGTAGTGATACTTAGCACAAGTTCATGCATCCATAGCTTATATTAATACGTGAACATTCACAAGAGACTGCAAGTGTTCAAAGTTCAAGCCTATATTTATTCTTCAGGTTTTATAACAGTCACTAGATTTCCCAGACTTGGTGGCGTATTTTAAAATAGAGAGTACCAACTTGTGTAGTTATCTACTGTTCAAGGACAGCCCTTAAAATCCCCAGATGGTAAAGAGGCCCAGAAGAATAAAGCTGACATATTCTTCTATGCATTTACATTATTCAATCCCTCTTGCCCATTAACCAAGCAGGAGCGGGGAGGACAGGCAACATGGACCAAACAGCAAAGCTGTGAACGAGACTAATCCTAGAAGAGATGTGACCACCTTTTAATTCCTTCATATGTTAGCCTTACAGCCAAATGCCAATATGTAATAGCATTTGAACTGCAATAAAGGTAACATTTAATTGCAATGAAAGGTTTTCTTACAAGGAAAAAAAAAAAAAAGTATTATCAATGCAGTTGGCTTGTACCTCCCTGGAAATCAGTCAGTTACACTGAAGATTAATTTAATCCAATATTCTCTTTCACCTATCTTGTTTTTCCCTCTAGGGCTGAATAATTCAAAGT